TTAAGCCTTGCGTTTCTGAAAAATTTAAACACTTTTAGCCCTGCGTTCCTGACAAATTTTAACCATTTCATTCCTGCGTTCCTGAACAATTTTAACTCTTTGATCCCTGCGTTCCTAAACAATTTTAACCCTTTGAGCCCTGCGTTACTGAACAATTTTAACTCTTTTAGCCCTGTGTTCCTGAACAATTTTAACCCTTTGAGCCCTGCGTTCCTGAACAATTTTGATGACACCGGAAGACTTGTGTGATGCAATGTTTTGCCAGACATCTTGGATCAGTTACTATGAATGCGACTGTCACACAGACCACAATCATATTTTATAGCATCCCACTGGCGACTGAGTAATCCTACGAGAGAGCCTGATCAGGCATGAAAATTACAAAATTCCCTAGGTAATTAATACGGCTGTACAACTTCCTCGTACAAACGAAAATGTTGTTAGTATAAAAAGTACCGAAGAACTGATGATCGAGCTATGGCACGATCACGACAGACAATAAACCAACACCTCTGGAGTTCAGGTAATAATAATAATAATAATAATAATAATAATAATAATAATAATAATAACGTAGGAAGTATCGTGTCGATTTATGGCATATTTGCATATTTAAGTGGAATTTATAACAGCTCATTTTATTATTAATTTATTCTCGTCCTTCCTAATGTGGACTTTTCCAAATGGTTATATATATATATATATATATATATATATATATATATATATATATATATATATATATTAAGTAAATGCTCTGTTTATAAGTAAATGCTCTGTTTATAAGTATATCCTCTGTCGGAGGATGCATATTTTCTATGAAAATTTCTCGGACATTCAGGCCGTTAAATATTGTTAATACTGTTTATTATAAACAAAGCATTTACTTAAATATTTGTATCTATAAAAAGAACGTTTAAACTTCAAAGTATGTAATTATATGTGAGTAACATCTCATAAAAATACGAGACAAAATCATACAAATGTAAAATTATTGACTTCTTGACCCCGTCCGTTTAACGCTATTTCTGGAGGGTATGTGGTTTCCATAGACTTCAAACGAACGTTCGATCTTCTTGCTTAGATGTGAGAGACACTATGCCCCTCCCCGCGCCACATAAGTCAGGCGTTTATAGATATTTCTATCACCGGATTTTCTTGTGTGTAAATATCCTTTTCGCGCGCCCATCGACGATATTTGAGGTTCGATTCTGTATCTGGCTTCTCTGAGGGCACATTCTAGGTCATCCCTCAGAGGTACGGAGAGGTACTATTGAGAAGACATACGGTAATTATCTCCCAACATTAACCACCAGACATCTTAAATGCTTACCTGGCACAAGCGTTAACCGTTAGCAATGAGGGTTCACTGAGGTGTGGTTATCGCCCTATGAGTGGAGATATATTTTTCCTTATTTTAGATGGAAAAAAATGCTCAACCAATTTTTATCCTTGGTCCATACGAGTGTTTTGAGATTTGAAAGGATATTGAAGGCGTTGGAGATTTGTGAAGACGTACTGTCGATCAATTAACAGCAATAACCAACAGAAATCTTTTATGAATATACAAAGATATTAAGAAAATATTGCAGCTGACCAGAATATGAGATGTTTGAGAGGATATTGGAGATTTGAGAAGACGTGCGTTCAATCGATCACCAGCAATAAACAACCTTCTATACGACTATACTAAGAAAATATTTCAGTTGATCAGAATATAACAGGAGAACTTGTTGAAGATTTGAGAAAATTTATGCACAGCAACAGCCTGCAGACATCTTGTGTGAATTTTCAAATTGATAGAATATGAATAAAAAGAATTAAAAAAAAAACAGCAATTATTTCACCGTCGAAGAGATATACAACGATAGAATAAAAACCACTTTCGTCTCGATCAATTAAGCATTCTCCATTTTCTGCGTAAGTAATTAATCTAGACCGAAAAGATATAATTGCTGTAATTCCCCATGTATATCATGCATTTTTTCTAAAAAAGAAATAATATGCAAAATCAGGGGTGCGTATTATGCACCGCTACAAAAATTCTTTTAAATATTGCCATAAAATAAAATAAGAATTATCATAAAACTAAATTAGAATAATGCTTAAAACCATTTTTAAAAAATAAGAGTAGGAAACACTGTCCGTAATTAAATTGAAGAGGTACAATTTATAGATTTTGATTACCAAATAAGGGGTGCGTATTATACGCGAGTAGAAGCATTTTCTCACAATTCCAGCACAATTTTAGGTGTGCGTATTATGGATGAAGGCGTGTTATACATAGGGAATTAAGGTAATTTTGTTGAGAACGCAAATTTTGAAATAACATTTTCTAAATCATATCTGAACATTTTTTTTGTCATTAAGAAGTAATTAATATCAACTAAATGTATAAAATATCTTTTTCTCATTTTATTTTATTTCGAATAAAAGTCGATAATTAAAACAAAATAGTTTTCGGAATTTAAAATTTGGTTTTAATAATCGAGATTTACTCAAAATAAAATAAAATGAAGAAAAATATTTTATATTTACAGAGTTGCTAAAAAAACTGTTCGTTTATATTGAACTTTATCAACATTTATTTGTTTCGAGGATAGAAAAATAAATATGTAAAAATTGGTCGTTTATATATAAAGTCTATAAGCATTTACTTGGTTCGAGGATAGAAAAATAAATAAGTAAATTTTAGTCGTTTATATATGAAGTCTATAAGCATTTACTTGGTTCGAGGATAAAAAATAGGGCAGTAAAATAGATCGTTTGTATATGAAGTATACAAACATTTGCGGATTCGAGGATAGAAAAAATAAATTAGTTAAAATGGGTCGTTTATATATGAAGTCTATAAGTATTTAGTTGGTTCGAGGATAGAAAAATAAATAAGTAAAAATTAGTCGTTTATTTATGAAGTCTATAAGCATTTTCTTGGTTCATGGATAGAAAAATAAATAAGTAAAAATGGGTCGTTTATATATGAAGTCTATAAGTATTCACTTGGTTCGAGGATAGAAAAATAAATAAGTAAAAATGGGTCGTTTATATATGAAGTCTATAAGCATTTACTTAGTTCGAGGATAGAAAAATAAATAAGTAAAAATGGGTCGTTTATATTATAGTCTATAAGCATTTACCTTATTCCAGGATAAGAAAAATGAAATAAGTAAAAATTAGTTATTTATATTGGAGACCATATTGGGAGTAGACAGTTCACGTCCCACTGATTATGTCTACGGATATCGTTTAGCACAGTAGAATAAATAAAGCGTTCAGTTCAGAATTCCTTGTAGGTTACCTAGATTTACAGACATTGAGGAAGGCCGCAAGGCACAAGGGCTGAAATGTTTGTGATAAAAACAACAAAGATGAGGAGAATAGTCCGAATATAAATTGCGTAAATAATAACTCCTCATCCCATAATTCTGACAAACAATGCAGACGTTATAATGGCGGGCTGAAATATTGGCGATCTTGAAACATTATTTCAAACTCGGTCTCAAATTCATTGAATCTGCTCACCAAATTCACGGTGTGGAAATAAATAACAAGCGTATCTGACCGTATAGTACGAAAGTGGTTTAATTGTGTTTAACGTCGCTGAGTTGTCACTGAAATAAAGCCTAAAAGTGGCTATCAAGCATTGATTACGATGCTTTGTCTTCAAGGTCACATGGCACAGTGGATAAAGGCGTTAGTTAGATCCAGTGACAGAGACCCAAAGAGTGTGAGTTCAATACCCGGTAAAGGCAGTGGAGTACTTTCAGAGGGAAATTACCAGGAGATTACTGATAACTGACATCCATTAGAGATGATACGTGGAACTCGAACAGTCTACCCCAGTGAGCGAAATAAAGGGTTCAGTTCGACATTCCAAACCCCTGAAGAAGTGTACAAGGCCGAAACGTTGTAATAAATATGGCGACAGAGATGAGGAAAATAGTCCGAATAATATAAATCATGTACATAATACCTCATCCCAGAAATATAGACAGAAATGATGCTTTGAAATACAAAATAGATACAATCCGACAACTAGTATTCTTCGAAAACTATTAAAAGAGTTAGTTCCATCAAACCATATCATATGCAGGAGCTAACCTAAGATTGTGCGGTTGGTTCAATGGATATCTGCCCGGAATTTGAATTGCTGTTGAATTTGTTCCATTCACTGAATATCTCGCAGGTAGACGTGTTTGAATAGATATCCCTGTTCTTTTTTTTTTAAAACGGTGAAATAAAGAGTCAACCAGAAGAGAGATTGAAGGCCCTGTTAAAGAAAATGCGTCTTCTAGCGAGAATCGAAACTGTGTCCTCTTTTTTCAATCAGGGAAACTACTTTTAAGCTATCTGTAAATGAACATGCAACGATTCGAACCATTCACCTAATGATAAGGGGGCATGTTACTCAATTTATCGTCCACTCTTATGACATTAATGATTCATCATTTCAGATAATACCTGGTTCATCTAAGCCTGAGCATTACTTGGCCTCCACCCATTGAGTCAAGTTTTTACACAAGGTCGGTTTTGAACGTGTCTAAGCTGGTCATAGCCGGTCAGACCATCGCTACATAACATGTTATTCAATACTGTGGGGAGGCAAAGGAGGAGAGTAGGTCTCCGGCACGGAACACATGCTACATATGAAGTATCCGTCTTAAGAGGAAATATCGAAGAAGCCTCTTCTACTCCTTTGCCAATCCTCTCGGAATTATCCGCGGTGGGGGGGGATGGTATCCACAACGGCGGAAAGCTCTTGGTTCACCTAAGTCCGTGCTATTTTAAAAAACGCGTTTATATTAGGACGAGATTAATTACAGTTGCGATTGAAGCTGATTTCAAATGACCCACCACTATTCTAGATTAAAAAAAAACTCTCAGAATATTTACCTACGTTTATTTATTATTTATTTAGAGTTGAGAGTAGCTTGAAGCTGATTTCAGTCAATCTCTATGATTTCAAATTAACACTTCACAACGGTAGTCTTTTTATTTAGGAGTTCTTCTTCTTCCTCCTCCTCCTCCTTCTTCTTCTTCTTCTTCTTCTTCTTCTTCTTCTTCTTCTTCTTCTTCTTCTTCTTCTCAACTCCTCCTCCTTCTTTTCTTCTTCTTCTTCTACTACTACTACTACTACTACTAGTACTACTACTTCTACTACTACTTTTCTTCTTCTACTCCTCCTTTTTCTTCTTCTACTCCTCCTTCTTCTCTTTCTTCTTCTTATCTTTCTCCTCTTCCTCCTCCTTCTTCTTCTTCTTCTACTGCTACTACTTTTCCTTCTCCTCCTCCTTCTTTTCTTCTTCTTCTACTCTTTCTTCTTCTTCTTTGCTTCTTTTTATACTTCTTCTTCTCCTCCTATTCTTCTTCTTCTCCTCTCCTCATCCTTCTCCTCCTCGTTCCTCTTTTTCTTCTCTTTCTCCTTTTTCTCCTCTTCCTCTTCTTCTTCTCCTCTGCTCATCCTTCTCCTCCTCGTTCCTCTTTTTCTTCTCTTTCTCCTTCTTCTCCTTCTTTGTACCGTGTCTTCTCAGGACCTGGGCGATCATAGCTCTCCAAAATTTATTACGATTTGGAGCCCTTAATAAATTTTGTTTTTTCGCTATCTCTCCTAACCCCTGTTTTGCCAAACATTTACTCCAATTTGTTCGGTAGAATACCCACTGTTTTCCTGTGGCCATCTTGCCTTCAAACCGTTTGAGCTCGTTGCAATGATTTATGCGCCAGTACCCTTAGGAAAAGTTTGACTCAGGATGTTTTCCTAATTACTTCAATCGTAACTTTATCAAGTCTAGTATTAAGCATTATCTTTCCTACATAAAGTCATGAACTGCAATTGTTGCCTTTTATTACGCTCATACAACACCACACAGAAACTCTCTACCTTGAGTAGCTCTTGGGTCTTGTATTAGGTTAACATTTGTAATAAAAAAGCATAAAACAACTTTAATTTTTCCAACATATTTCACTATTTAAATTCTGTATGCCGCTAAAATAAGACTTGAGATGTTGAAAAATCTTGAGCCGCAAATTTCATTCGTTTGCTGTCACGTAATAAATCTATTTTTTATCGCCAGTTTCAATGTCTGTCACTGAAGGATCTAACATAAGTATGACAAATGCTTATCACAAGAATGATGACTACTTCTTCTCAGCCTGTGAAGGGCCTTTTTATTGAAGGAAAGCCTACCCCAGATTCATGGAGGGAAACGGGTCAATCCCCTACCAAGCTTGCCTAATGCTTGTTGTTAAAGGCGAATGTGACAAGTTTTGGGTGATTTTTTTTTCCGATTCACGATCGCCCAAGCTGTTTCAGCGTGATATCGTTGGATTTATTTCAATATAAGGATGCATGGAAAGTAATAACGTTTTAACTGACAGGGCGTAACATAAATGTAGTTTTTTTTTTTCTTTTCTTCGTATACTTTGAAGGTCCTTGGTTTTAGACAAAGGCCTTCACCAGTTTTATGGGGAGAAATGTGCCATTCCCAAACCGGTTAACGGACATATTACGTTGAAACACCGATTTTCCTATCATCGATGTTAAGCAACGAAGATCCTCGTTAGTTCTTAGAATGGTGACCGCTTGCGAATACCAAATGCCGTTGGGCTTGGATGCGCTGATGGTATAATGGATAACGGTACGAAATCGAAGATCCGAGTTCGAATTTCAGTCGTTTTCATTATATCCACAAACGCTAAAATACACCCGGGAAAAGGTATGTCTCCCCAGCAGTGAGTTTTTAGTAGGACTTCTATCATTAAATAGCGTATTTGACGGCATGTTAAGCGCATTTTTTTACTAAAAATATCTTTTAAAATGCGTCATATATGCCATATGTAGTTTTAAGATTCGCGATAGTCGGCTGAAATTATTCACCTGGCAGCTCCTATTAGCTTAGACTTAAACATGAAGGAGCAATGGAAAATGTGAATGGCAATGCCTGATCACGACCTTTAGACTTACAGGAATAAAAAAAAAAGACTCAGCACTGCACAAGTCTGCAAATGGCTGAAGCAAGCTTGGGATAATATTAGACTAGAAATTGTTGTGAAATCTTTTAAAGTGTGTGGCATTAGCAATGCTTTAAACGGAACGGAAGATGACGCATTATTTAACGACGATGATAGAAGTATTGAAAATGAATATCAGTTTTGATAACGATAAGCACGAATTTTATGATTTTAAGGACGAATAAAATTTTAATGGTAACTGTACTATTTTGCTCACTTATAATAATCATTTGATTTTTTTCTTACCTTTGAATATAATAATGTTTTTATAGTCTCGTGTTCTTTTTTTCCTATTATTTTTCGTTTAATTGTAATCATGGCTTGTTTAACCAAAATAGTACCTCATAAATATAGCCTAGGGTGTACCATTTATTAATAATTTTACTAATTTTATTAATTACTAATTTTTCCTTGATTTTCTCTGCTGAAATCGAGGTGTGTCTTATACTCCCGTACGATTTATATGCCGTCCAATACGGTAATTATTATCTCAAAAAGTTCTTACAAATTAAAAAAAATTTGCTGGCTTTAATTAACCTACAAAAGGATGATAAACCGTAAAATACAAATCAATTAATCAATTACTCTTTCTCGTTATCGCGCTGGCCCAATGTGTGTTGGTAGAGGTGAATGTGACACTCTTTTCGATTCACGCTTAAGTGAAAATAACGAACCCAACTGGAATTTGAACTCGGCTCTCCGATTTCTAAATACGAGCCATTATTCAATACACTATCCGCACATCAAAACCCTATAGCATCTGCTATTCCCATGCGGTCACCCATCTCAGCGCTGATCGGGCTAGACGTTGTTTAACTTCGGTAATCAGACAAGAAATGGTGTTACAACATAATATGGCTGTAATTTTTTCTCCTCGACACCATCAGCACAGCGCATCATCTTTTCCAATTTTAAAAAGTCTGCCAAGCCTTCTTTCAGAATCAGTACCAGCAACCGTTTCGCATTCTCTTTAATCTCGTCCACTAGCTAAAAGATGATCTCTTTTTAATGGTGATAGCCAAAAGTCAGAAGAAACCATACCGATTTTGATGACACCGGAAGACTTGGGCGATGCAATGTTTAGCCAGACATCTTGGAACAGTTACTATGAATGCGACTGGCACACAGACCACAATCATATTTTATAGCATCCCACTGGCGACTGAGTAATCCTACGAGAGAGCCTGGTCAGGCATAACAAATTACTGTGTTGTGGTAGGATCCACCTAATTTGCATAGTGGAATACCGATCATATAAATATGGTTGGTACCGAGAAGAGAGGGGGGAATCAAGACATTCAACCAGAGACTCTGCCCGACTGCGACTCAGTCAACACATTCTCCAGGAACGGTCTTACCAGGAATATACAAGAGACTATGTGTAAATATTGTGTACACTTTCTTGTTTCAATACATTTTGTTCTAAGTACATTTTGTGTTGCATTATTATTCCATGCATTAGTCAAGTTTCAACAATAAGTAACTATACTCGTTTCGGAAAACCCTCGAATTTTTGATTTGCCAATAATCAAATCAATCTCGAAGGAAAAAAAAGGTTTTAAAAAAAGAAAGAGCTACAAACATGAAAGTCTGTCGAAAAAAATCGCACAGATACAGGTTTGAAGGCCAAAGAAAAAAACCCCGATACGAGTAAACAACTAACTAAGAAAAGAGCTCAATACAACCGTAGAGCAGACCTAGATAAACCTCGTGAGCCAGAAAAACCTACCTAGGTTTCACCTAAACGGATCGTCAGGAAAAGACGATCCGCTTAGGTAGGTTTGTCTGGCTCACTAGGTTTATATATATATATATATATATATATATATATATATATATATATATATATATAAAGTAAATGCTCTGTTTATAAGTAAATCCTTTGTCGGAGGATGCATATTTTCTATAAAAATTTCTCGGACATTCAGGCCGGTAAATGTCGTTAATATATATATATATATATATATATATATATATATATATATATATATTTACTTGAATATAAATTATATATATATTACTTAATATATAAAAAGAACGTATAAACATAAAAATGTCTTAAAATAATTGTCGGGCTTTGTCTATTTCATAATGTGTGACGTCATATATATATATATATATATATATATATTTTTTTTTTTTTTTTTTTTTAAAAAAATTAAAAATCAAAATCTTTAGACACACTGGGTTGTAGATTAATATTCTTTTTCGTTTTTTTTATTATTATTTCATTTAGATTCCTCGACTAGTTTCGACCAAAATGGCCATCATCGGGAGGAGAAATATTTCTGCTTGCTGGTAGCACTAAACTACAGAAAAAAATATATATATACATACATATATATATATATATGTGTATGTATGTATATTAAACTACTAGTAATACTAGGTTGGTAAAAAAAAACACCTCCAATAGAAAAACTTGTAAGTCCATCAAAACAAATCGGTACCCGAAGAAAAAAATTGGAAAAAAATAGAAAAAAAAGAAAGCACTAGAAACATCCGAACAGGGCGAAATAAATCGTCCAGTGCCTTAAGTTTTTAGTATGTCTTTTATCTCTGCAATCACAATAGAATAGTTTATTATTCATGAGGTATTGGCAGGAAACATTAAACACATCTAATTTCCCTACTTTCTTTGCAGCTAGATCTCCATCTTACAAACTCTTGTCTGAGTCCATCCTTCAAATCTGTAAATCAGCCATCTGTCCTTGCATGGAATATTGCTGTCATATATGGTCTGGAGCCCCCACTGTTCATCTAAAGGTTCTCAACAAAATCCAGAGATGAATATGCAATGCGGTAGGTCCTCATCTGGCATCTAGTCTACAATCACTTTCCCACAGATATATCATGACTCCCCTCTGTCTCTTCTACAAGTATTTTGACAGCAACTGTTCCAACGAGTTACTTTTTCTGGTTCCCAGACTGCATGAATTTAAGCGAGCTACTAGGCTAGCATCTCGGTCCCACCCATTCACTGCCAAAACATTTAAATTTAACTGTCTCTTCTACTCAAACGGCTTCCCATCTGTGGAACTCCTTTACCCTTGCTTCCCCATGACTATAATCTTCAAATATTCAAGTGTAATGTCAATTGACATCTGACAGCCTGAGCGTGTTCCCTGCCCTTCTTTGTATCCTTTCCTCAAACACGCCTCTTTGCTCTTGTTCTCAATCCTCTGTAACCCTTTGTGTGCTAGTGCCACTCCCACTTGCTTGGGGTGAATTGCTTTAAAAAAAAAATCTCTGTTAATAATAATTTAAAAAGCGAGTCATAAAAATGAAAAGTATAGTGCTCATTTCTTCTGTCACGAACTTTTATACTAATTAGATTTTAGTAGTTTTATCAATAAATACTGTTTCATGCCATATTCTCTTTAGTCAGCTTACCCTGAAGATCCGTTTAGGTGAAACCTAGGTAGATTGTCCCTTGCCCTTTAGGATTTATATATATATATATAGTTTTTAATTTTAATATTAAATTTTATCATATAATTTTA